CCCATCATCATGGTGACCTTGGGGTCATCCAGTGAGGCCTAAAGGTGTGCCCAGGTGAGACTCACCTGTGCTGCAGGTGACCCCAAAATCCACCCGAAATCTACCCGAAATCCACCCAAAATCCCACCAAAACTGCCCAAAATCCCACCAAAATGGCCCCACACGGGTCACCCCATCATCATGGTGACCTTGGGGTCATCCAGTGAGGTCTAAAGGTGTGCCCAGGTGAGACTCACCTGTGCTGCAGGTAACTCCCAAAATCCCCCAAAATCCACCCAAAAACCCACCCGAAATCCCACCAAAACTGCCCCAAAACTGCCCAAAATCACCCCAAAACGGCCCCAGACGAGGTCACCCCATCATCATGGTGACCTTGGGGTCATCCAGTGAGGTCTAAAGGTGTGCCCAGGTGAGACTCACCTGTGCTGCAGGTAACCCCAAAATCCCCCAAAATCCCACCAAAACCGCCCCAAAACTGCCCAAAATCACCCCAAAACGGCCCCACACGGGGTCACCCCATCATCACCGTGGCCGTGGGCTGGTCCAGCGAGGCCTAAAGGTGTGCCCAGGTGAGACTCACCTGTGCTGCAGGTAACCCCAGAATCCACCCGAAATCCACCCGAAATCCCACCCGAAATCCCACCAAAACTGCCCCAAATTTGACCAAAAATCACCCAAATCTGACCCCAACTTTGACCCCACATCACCTGAATTTCACCCCAAAATGACCCAAACTGACCCCAAATTTCCGTCGCCCCAAAATGCCCCAAATTGACCCCAAAACTGCCCCAAATTTGACCCAAAATCACCCAAATTTGACCCCAAAACTGCCCCAAATTGACCCAAAAAATACCCCAAATTTGACCCAAAATCACCCCGAAACTTGACCCCAAAACTGCCCCAAAAACTGCCCCAAATTTGACCCAAATAAAGCCCCAAATTTGACCCCAAATCACCCGAATTTCACCCGAATTTCACCCCAGAGGGCCCCAAACTGATCCCAAATTTCCAGTGCCCCAAATTTCACCCAAAATCACCCAAACGAGACCCAAAAACTGCCCCAAAATTGACCCAAAAAATGCCCCGAATTTGACCCAAAAACTGCCCCGAATTTGACCCAAAATCACCCGAATTTGACCCCAAAATCACCCAAACTTGACCCCGAAACTGCCCCAAACTTGACCCAAAAAAAGCCCCAAATTTGACCCCAAATCACCCGAATTTCACCCAAATTTCACCCCAGAGTGCCCCGGACCCCAAAATGGCCCCAAATTGACCCAAAATCACCCAAATTTCACCCAAACTGACCCCAAATTGACCAAAAATCACCCAAACCTGACCCCAAAACTGCCCCAAATTTGACCCGAAGAATGCCCTAAATTTGACCCCAAATCACCCGAATTTCACCCAAAATCACCCAAACTTGACCCCGAAACTGCCCCAAACTTGACCCAAAAAAAGCCCCAAATTTGACCCAAAATCACCCGAATTTCACCCAAATTTCACCCCAAAATCACCCAAACTTGACCCCAAAACTGCCCCAAATTTGACCCAAAGAATGCCCCAAATTTGACCCCAAATCACCCGAATTTCACCCCAGAGTGCCCCAAATTGATCCCAAATTTCCGGTGCCCCAAATTTCACCCAAAATCACCCAAACTTGACCCAAAAGCTGCCCCAAAATTGACCCAAAATCACCCAAATTTGACCCCAAATCACCCAAATTTCACCCCAAAATGACCCAAACTGGCCCCAAAATCACCCAAAACTGCCCCAAATTTGACCCAAAGAATGCCCCAAATTTGACCCCAAATCACCCAAATTTCACCCAAATTTCACCCCAGAGTGCCCCGGACCCCAAAATGGCCCCAAATTGACCCAAAATTACCCAAATTTCACCCAAACTGACCAAAAATCACCCAAACCTGACCCCAAAACTGCCCCAAATTTAACCCAAAAAAAGCCCCGAATTTCACCCCAAATCACCCAAATTTCACCCCGAAATC